CTTTGATATTTTTGCCTTAATATTAAATATATACATCATAACAAAATAGCTATATGAAAATACAGCACGGATCAACATGCCATTTCATTTACCAGGTTACCACCTCCAGGAAACAACCAACTATTAACTTGAATCATATCATCTCCAAATTTTTCCATACCTTGAAAAAAACCCAATGGTTCTAAACATAGTTTTAGGCAAGACTTTCATTTCCATTAGAAACTGTCAATATATATATATATATATATATATATATATATATATATATATATATATATAATTTGCTAACTCTTACTACACAGTTTTGCAAAATCACATTCATAAAAGTGCAAGGGCTATTTCAACTGGTTTATCTTACTCTACTGAAAACCTTCCTAAAAACATTGGTTCCTGGAAGCTGAAGCATATGATGCCTATTCTAATCCCCTGGTCCTTGAACCACTGAGACCTGGAGATGAGTTTAAAATGTTCCTGTATCATAAAACAGTGACTTGCTATGTATGAGTAACCTGAGGATGGTTGCAAACTCTCAGTCTTCCTTCTTTTCAAATACTGGGTTACAGGTAAGCATTACCAAGTCTGGATCCTATTCACATCCTAATGTCTTATGTATTTATTTATTTGTATTTATAATCCTGGGATTTGAACTCAAGGTCTTGCTCTTGCTAGGAAAGTGTTCTGCCACATGAATCACACTCCTAACCCTTTTTGCTTTAGTCGTTTACCAGATTAGGCCTTAAATTTTTGCCCAGGGACAATCTTATATAAAGGCCCTCCTATCTATACCTCCCGAGTAGCTGGGACTACAGACACACACCATAACCCTCAGCTTTAGAGTTATTTTGAAATAATTCTTTCTCTCTCCCTCAAAACCCATTCTCCTTATTGTTGCTATTTTCCACACCTTCTGCATCACCTTCCTCCACTATTACCTACCTTGTCTACTAGCATTTTCTTCATCTGTTCTCCTTTTTGATTTCCTGAAGCTTTCAATCTCATGTGAGTGAATCAAAAACAGCCTGGCTTTTCAACTCTACTTTTTTTTTTGTGTGGAAATACCATACACGGGGTTTATAATTACATGGGCAAGATAACGAGTAATTTCTTATCAAGCATTGTTGCCTCCTCTTTGTTTACCCTTTCCATCCCTTCACATACTCTGCTCTCCCCCCACCCCCGACCCTCCCTCCCCACCAAGTTGTAAAGTTCATTTTTCCACATAACGACTTGTACATCTCATTGTTGCAATGGGTCCACCTGCATCCCTTAAACGATTTGTTTTTTTCCCTTCCCCTCCACAAATTATACCAACATCAAATACAATGAAAGCAGGGGTTATACTGTGGGGGAGGAACATACAAAGCAACAAAGAAATAATCTTATAAATATGTTAGAAACAATTGCATGAAAGAAAAAAAAACATTTGAGTACTTATCTTGGGGTTCATTTCCCTCAAATCTACTTTAAGATATCGCCTCAGCCAGTACTGTAGGAGTTAGTGACTAGACCTGTACTTCCCATACTGATCATTTAAACTATGGCTGTCCCACATTGATATTTGAGTATAAAATGCACACCAGCTTATAACAAAAATAAATAAACAATACAAAACACCTGAAAAATAGTTGCCTACTATAATCTTTTATAGCATATATAATCTATTTATATATTATACATAATATATGTTATGTATAATCTTTTATATTATTTGTTTAAATGAAGTTTCTAGGATCCATTTCTTAGAGGTTATAGGAGGATCTAAAATTGCACATGTCTTGTCCTTTGTTTCTACTGGATATAAGCTTACACCTATCTCCAGCAAACACCTGTTACCTTTTGTCATTTTAATTTCCTGCATACCTTTTAATTCTACCCTTTTCTATTCACAGGTCACTCATTCTTCAATTTTGATTCCACAATCTTCTTAATACCAAGAGGACTTTGAGCTAACTGAGTTTTCCCTTTTCCTCTCCTCTTTTATGTCCTCATATCTCCCCATCTGGCTGCTCTTCACTGACCAGGGTTTACAACAACGTCTTTCAGTACCAGCCTAGCTACATCTCATCATTTTTTGCTCTGATAACTACATGTGGCTTGAGGAAAGAAACTCAAACTATGCTTACCTTGATATATATCAAACTCTTCACCATGCAACTCTTCTTAATAACCCTTTTGTTGAGGAAGTTGGAAACATGTTGTGATGCCCTCATCAAAAATCCATCTCAGCCCGGCGCCAGTGGCTCACACCTATAATCCTAGTTACTCAGGAGGCTGAGATCTCAGGATAGCAATTTGAAGCCAGAGCAAGCAGGAAAGCCAGTGAGACCCTTATCTCCAATTAACTACCAAAAAAGCCAGAAGTGGAGGTCTGACTCAAGTGGTAGATCGTTAGCTTTGAGCAAAACTTCTTCATGGACAGTGCCCGTGCCCTGAGTTCAAGCCCTAGGACCAGCATGCCCTCCCCCTCCCTGGCTCAAGTCATCTGATTTTTGTGTGTGTTACCTAGGGCTACTGTGAAAGAGTTATACAACCATAAGAGAAACCAAAGTATGGGGCTACTGTTTAAATCACCACAAAACTGGTGGTCAGAAGTAAAAAAATCTAAATGGCTAAAGATGGAAAGTCAACATGTCACAAGGGCCATATTCCCTTCAAAGACTCTAAGGAGAATCCTTGATACATATCCAACTTTGGGGGCTCCTGGCAGCAATAATCCTACCGTCTACCTCTATCTCTACCTAATCTTCTTTTCTGTATTACTCAATATCCACATCTCCTTCTCTCTGGATCTTATAAAGAAAACTTGAATTTAAGAATCTTGTAAGTAAAGCCCGGTGTCAGTGGCTCACGCCTGTAATCTTAGCTACTCAGGAGGCTGAGATCTGAGGATCATGGTTCAAAGCCAGCTCAGGTAGGAAAGTCCGTGAGACTCTTATCACCAATAAACCAGAATCTTGTAAGTAAAAGATGATTTTTTTATGAGATCCTTAAACTGTGATATTTACAAAGACCTTATTTAAATAAGGTCAAAATTCTAAATTTCTGAAGACACTTACTTTTTTTTTTTTGTCAGACGTAGGGCTTGAACTCTGGGCCTGGGTGCTATCCTTCAGCTCTTCAGCTCAAGGCTAATACTCTACCACTTCAGCCACAGCTCCACTTCAGATTTTCTGGTGGTAAATTGGAGATAAGGGTCTTGCAGACTTTCCTGCCCAGGCTGGTTTTGAACCACAATCCTCAGATCTCAGTCTCCTGTGTAGCTAGAATTATAGGCATGAGCCACCAGCACCCAGCTGAAACTTAAATTTGGAGTAACTATTTCTTCTACTATGCTATGTGAAATGTTTTTGGAGAAAAAAAACTTTAAATCATTTATATGATTTGGTGGTCTCTGGTGATTTGTGATTTTTTTGACTGTTTTCCATCTTTTTGTTTTTGTTGTTTCACCTTGTATTTCCACATGACTTTTAATTTTTCATTAACAGTACCTTCAAAGGTATAGAAAAACAATATATCAGTGTTTTGCTTTTGAGTACTTAAAGGGTAAATTTCTCCCAAATGTTCTATTACACAAATATAACAGATCCAGACACACTATCCAAGTAACCTTGACCCACCATGGCTGGTACTGTATGAACACACGCTGTTGCAACCTCATGGGCTTACAAGTTAAGCATTAGTAACACCCTTCCCCCTACCTTAACCAGTAAAATGACACTTTTGATACTTCACAGGAAATCTAGAGGGTGTTTAAACAGGGACTGTGTCCCTCATGGCTTGGTCACAGCTGAGAAACAAACAGAAACCGCCCACAGGCTGAGCCAATGACAGAAAAAGGAAAAACACTGGAGCAAAAAGCCATCAGCTTCTCAGAGCCTTTATCTGTCAGAAGATAGAGCACAGAAGCTAGTTAACGTACAAATAAATAGGAACAGTTCATGACACTTTTAATTAATACTTGTCAGTGATCAACACAGACATATAATATTTTACTTCCTCAACATACAATGGTTCTACATATTATAAAGAGATTCCTCCTATATTTAAAGACCTAAAGATGCACATTTCGTTGAATTAGGATTTATAAACAAAAGAACTCTATTCTGGTGAAAAGTACAATATAACAAATATAGAAAATAATAAATATAGAATAAAGAAATAATATAGAAAAAAAATGGAAAGGGTGAAGTTTGTTTTCTCCTGTCCAAAAAGTTTATAAGTATGGTTTCTAGTATGTCTGTCTAATATATACATACGTATATATACATATATACATATGTATATGTGTGTACGTATGTGTGTATATGTATATATGAAATATAAGATATATATGTATGCTATATCAGGAGTAACATTTTGAGTTATTTTTACAAAGCATACAGAAGTCAATATAGTTGAAACCATTCAAATAATTGAGAGCCAAGATAATAACAAACACGTCTCCTTTTCTCCTGTATGATTGATCTATCTTAAGACATTACAAGTTTGAATGCTCAAATTATTTTTTCTTCTACAATATATTTTGAGTTTTTTGCTATTAGCAAATGGTTATGGAAAATTGGTAAACACACTAAGCTAGTTTTACTTAGTTTTTCCAGTAAGTGAGTCAATGTAAAATAACTTCTTAAATGACTAACCAGTGAAATAATTTGCAACGAATTGAAAAACTATCCATAAATTGACAAGAGTGATTTGTGGTTTTTATGAAATCAAGAAGGTCAGAAAGGAAAAGTCAGTAAACAATACCAACAAATAAACCCAGAAAGCTTGAAATATGTATATATATATATATATGTTTTCTTTTTCTAAACATCATAGTCTTCACTCTTCCTGCAGAGATTCATTAATTTATGCAAAATCATTGTAGGACAGATTGGGAACAAGATATTCTTTTCTCAAATAATTGCCTGTACAGATTACTTATTAATTACGAAATGACAAAGGTGTTTCACAAAGGAGAAATCTGGCAGGTATCTCTTTACTGGACAGGGAGAACTCACCACACCAAGCATGCAGGAGAAACTGAGTGTACCTCCTTGCTTCCTGGATGCACGATGAAGCAAATGTCAGGTCTCTGACTCCTACATAAATATTTGACCTGAACCCAGTCATGAAGCTAGGCTGGACAAACCTGAATGGAGAGGTCTTCTGCAAAACATCTGACAGGGATTCTTTTAAAACAGCAAAGAAATGAAAAGATAGGGATTTCTTCTGGATTAAAGAAGACTAAACATATAAAAACTGAAAGCAATCTATGATCTTTGTTTTGATTCTTGTGGAAATTAAATACTATAAAGTTAATTTATAGAAGCATATTGACTATTTGAACATAGATTGAATATTAAATAATAGTGTCGTATAAAGGTAAGTTTTCCTGAATGAGGTCCTAATGTTACATTTATTCAGGAGATGTTTGATTCTTAAAAGGCAGAAGATGATACATTTAGGGGTGATGATCAAAAATGTGGAATTAGGATAAAAATTGCTACAATACAAAATATTTAAGCATGCATTTCTTCTGAGTAAAGATATATACATTTATTCACATAATCACAGTATGGGGGAAATTATGAATATGACTTCATATACTCATTAGAATTCAAAACCTTATATACTCTATTTTTTCCTACAAAGGAGAGAAGAAAAGGGAGTTTTGGGTGAATGGTAAATGGTTGTTTTAGGGGAATCCAGTGGCTTTGGAGAACAGACTACAGCCTGGGGCAAAGTTCATTTAACAAACCTAAAACAGACTGAGATGATAAAATCTTCTCTTTGAGATAGAAATAAAGGACAATGGCATGTGACAAAATTTTCCCAGTGTCTTGACATTCTTCAATCTTCTTCTTCTTTTTTTTATAACACAAATTCATTTTTTTATTCTTCTTTTATCTTGTGGTAACACAACCGTGGAATACTTTAATTCACTTTTATTAGCCTTTAAAAAGACTAATATTGCTATAAACGTTGCACAGAAGAATTATTCTGCTGACAAGTGACCACAAAACTTCCACAGTTCAAGCAAACCAAAACTGAATATGGATCTTTAAAAGATGCATAGACATTTGGCATTCATGAATATTACTTCAACTCTCTCTTGGAGATGTCTACTACTCTGCTTTCAATATCTAATTTCTTAAGGGCATAACATTTTAAAGCTAGATTTAGAATGAAAATTTTATTAAATTAACGTTCTCAAAGTAAATCAAATTAAGTAAGAGTTTAATTAATGAAAGCTCACAGAAGGGACTTAAGATCTGGTATTTTTTTTTCTTTTTTTCCCTTGATGTGTCTGGACTTTGGACATTTGCAAAGGGCTTCTTCCTGGGCTAGGAGGGCAAGAAAGGAAGGGAGCATATGAGCCTTGATTCTAGGGCAAACTCTCTGGCCTTTTAATTTCCTCTGTATTAAAATGCTCAGCATGCTAGAACACGCCATCCTGTGATGGCAGTGGGGGAGGGGCTGCCAATTCCCCAATTTTTCTCTTTTGCATCTGGTTTGCGTTTACTTGACTTTTTTTTTTTTAATCCAACCATATTTGTTTGCTTCTAATGGCTGGAAAGCACTCTCAGGTATGAGGATCATTACGACATGCGTGACCTTTGGGTCTAGTTTCTCTCTCACCTCTGCACAGAAAGAGTCAAAGGGTAAGAATTGAACTGAACTTGGCAGTTTCCATAATGAGATGGAGGAAATATATGGTATGGACTACTTTGTGGGGGTCTAATGAGACCTAAAATATGGAGCAAATGATGGGTTAGAGAGAGGTGCCTAATGGCTTGTATAGATTATTACTACAAGGATAGGCAGGCACTTGTAAGGAAATGAGTATGTACACTTTTCCTGGGAAGGAGCAGAAAAGTGGCGATGTTGTTTGCATATTTTGGGAGTAGCATGTGGGTAGTTCATCATCAGTTTCTTGGAATGAGAGGAAGCATATCTAGTTTCCCAGGAAAGAGAGGAAGTCAAGATGATAGATCTGCATTTCTTAAGGAGGACTGCTCTTGACTCCACTCTCTGGCAACTGCTGACATAGAAGCTTCTTGGTTTTGATTATGGTTTACTTCTTTGAGTTTTGCTCTGTGCTTCTTGGAGCAAATCTGGAGTAGTGTTGTTCGTTTTTGAGGCTATTTTGTCTTTAAGGCTCAAGTCTGGAGATGAGATCTTGCAAAGGATATTGAAATTTTCCAATGGTTCCTCAGCAAATAAAGTTCTATTCCTTTCAAAAGCTTTCTAAGCTTGTCCAGGGAAAAGAGTACAGAGCCTGAAACCTTCTAATCCCCTGTGATCCTACACTGAGTCACAAAGTTTTAAAACATAACGTTATAAAGGCTTATTTTACTGTAAGTATGCACTTTTTAAAATAAAATGTTGATTAAGAATTAATAATGAATAGTTTAATAATTTCCTTATGTCACAATCATATCTACAATAAAAGTACAAAGCTGGAACAGATTATTTAGTCTTGCAACAGTATTATTGGTTGCCTTTTATCTACTTTATATTTTAATATGGAGTTGGATAGATAACAAAGTAGGCCAGCAGGCACAATGCCACATTTCTGGATATTTTATTCTTCCTTCTTTTTTTTCCCCTAAGCTGACTAAGAAAGTGAAGTAAGTTGGGCCCCCATAGCTCATGTTTATTATCCTAGCTACTCAGAAAATTGAGATCTAAGAATACACATTTGGAGCCAGGCTCAGCAAAAAAAATCCAAGAGATTCTTCTCCCCAGTTAAGCAGCAAAAAGTTGGAAGTGGACGTGTGGCTCAAGTGATGGAATACCAGCCTTGAGCAATAAACCCAAGCAAAAGCACAAAACCATGAGTTCAAGTCCCGGGACTGGCAAAAACAAAAACAAAAATAGAATTAGTGAAGTATTCCGTGTCATATCTTTTCAAGTAAACCCTGCAGTCTCAAACTTCCTTGTCTAAATCTAAAGGAATATTTTGAAATAGTCTTCTTATCAATGTCCATTTATTGTCCTACTAGCAGAGAATTTGCCTAGCTGGTGAAACGTCATCGGTTACAACTCCGCAAAGAAAACGTAAAAACAAAAGCAGGAGCCATATATGCCAGTTCAACAAAATAGAACTTTTTTGTTATTAAAGGCCTGAGTAGTTTTCAAAAAAATGGAATTAATGGAAGATAGTTGAAGAATGCCCACCTGTGTCTGGGCATAACTCATACTGGTGAGAATAAGCATATCTTCCTAGACACTGGACACTGATTGCAAATGCTGCTTTGTTTCCTGAGGTTACAACAAGGTCAGATAAAAGGTTTATTCCTTAATCTGTCTGTACTCTTTTATTTGACCTTTTGAATTTTTTAGTATTAATGGATCATTTTCTGCTGCTGGTGTGGGTAGTAGAGGGGTGGCAGGTGGTGATACTTCAGAACACCCTTCAATCTTACTGAGTTAGGTTTGCTATTATTTACCCAGCTCTATGTGTGAGTGTAGTGAGGCTGGAACAAGAGAAGTCATTTGAAAATCTCTCTTCTGTCTTACATCCTAGCTATTAGCATCAGCTGCCCTGACCTGGAAGGCATAAGAAGAGAAGTACGAATTTAACTTTAATGAGTTTATTTTAAAGAAAGTTAACAAATGATGAGTTCATTTTTAAGAAAGTTAACAAATGATGGTTTAAGAAGAACAAGAAATACATAACTTTTGACTTTAAACAAGAAGATAAAGGAAAATGGCAAAATATTTCCTAACTATACAAGAATTTGACATTAAAATTTCATGAAGTCACTAACAAAATAGCAGTAAGGAATGAAGTATATTTTATAACAGAATAGAACTATATGTGACTGGTGACTGTAATGGGTTACAGTCTAGAGAGGACAGATTGAGAGAATCATGGTTCCAGGCCAGCTTATGCAAAAAATTAGTGTGACTTCACCTTAACAATTAAGCTGGGTATAGTGTAATATATCTATTTCCAGGCAGGTGGTAGACACAGGGAGGTGGATTATGGTTCAAGGATAGCCTGAGCCAAAAGCCTGAGATGCTGCCACTAAAATAACTAAGGCAAAAAATATGCTGGCAGTGTGGCTTAAGTGTTAAGAGTCCAAAGTTCTGAATATAAACTCCAGAGTCACTAAAACAACACACAGAACATTTACAAAACAAAACATGGGAATTATTAGATCAGTTTAACAAAGATCAAATACTTTCATTGTTTTTAATGTCATAGGAGAGAGAAACAAGTTTGAGCAAATCATAATAAAAAGTAGTAGATTTCTTAGGTATAATTAATAAATATATCCAGATACATGCAGGCTCATATACACAAACATATTATGAACAAGAACATATTATGGTGTTTGTAGGGGAGAATTCTAATGATGTAACTCCTTTGAACAACTACTATATTATCTAACAAAATAAATACTAGGGCTGGGCATCAGTGGCTCACATCTGTAATCCTAGGTACTCAGATGGCTAAGTTCTGATAATCATGGTCCAAAGCTGGCCTGGGAAGGAAAGTCTGTGAGACTCTTATCTCCAATTAACCACCAAAATGCTGGAAGTGGAGTTGCCCAAGTGGTAGAGCATTAATTTTTAATGTAAATGCTCAGGGACAGTGTCTATACCCAGGGGTCAAGTCCCGGACTGACACCAAAAGATAAGAATAAACGAATAAATAGCATGCATGCATATATACATACACATGCGTACATACATACAAGGAAGCTGGTACTTGAGGTGGGGGGGGTCAAGGGAAGGGGTAGACAAATGAAGAAAGAAGGGGGTTGTAAAGAATACAGTAACAATATCCAATGCATAGCCTATGAAACTAGGAAAATTGAAGAGTTGCTAGAGTTGAGAGGTTTACATAGGAAAGAGTAATGAAAGGGGAAATACAGATCTCCCCTGACATATTGGAGTGTAACCTCCTTTCACAGTGACTTAAAAATAATAAGAATATATTTTTAAAAAATAAGTTCCTTGCTTTTCTTTAATTTATTGCCTTTCTTCCATGGTGATTTTCTTGCCCTTTTCTTTTGTTGTACAGAAGCATTAGAGGAGGGCATCA